TCATCAGTCAGCCATACTTAAAGCACACTGTTGGGACAAAAATATGAATAATGTAGTCCCAGACATTCCATTATATATAAAGGAAGAAGATGCAATGCAGACTGGATGCTATTTCTGTGTTTTGATTATAGGAAGTTAATTTCTTTAACTGAGTATTAATTATAGTATATTCCACATGATGATACGATTGTGTTTGTGTATGAAAGCCATATTCTTCTTTTCTTCTTTTTTATGTTTTTTATCATTGATTTTTGAAGCAGATAAAACCGATGGAAGAATTGTGTGAAAATGTGTCTAGACAGACAGAATAACATAGTTTTATTGGATGCACAATATCATATGTTTTTTTATTATTGTTATTATTCTCTAAAAAGGCTATTTCTAAAAAATGTGTTTTTAGGAGGAGGACAAAAGTGTTTTGTTATCATTCAAACCTCCTGTGTTTTTCTGAGCACTTACTGGGATTTGTTCTGGTGTTGAACTCGAAGCACTTCATCACTTAACACTTGCTGTTAAAACAGAAAACAATGCAAGAGAGGTCACTAATATCTCAGCCTGACCACAGCGTTGTGGAGGGGATAAATGCCCATTAAAAACAAAAACAGAGACCACATGTGGTCATTAAAAGACGACCGTCAGAGGTCAATAAAAATATCCAGAATTATTTCAGTATTGGTTTCAATACAATTCAGTCAAATGGAAATGGAGTTTTAAATTATAAAGTGGAAATAGAAATAATGAAGAAATTTCTGTTTCACGCTGAGTGATTGGAATTTATCTCAGGACTAAACATATAAACACTTTATATGAAAAAGTTGAAGAGTGCTCAAATCTCCCAACTAAACTGAAGTGAGCCAATTTAGTTGTTGTGTGATACACTCAAATTATTTTAATTCCAAAATGCAATATTTAACATTTGAAAATGTGACTATTTCTGCCAAATTACCACAAACATAATATTTAAATTATGTGAGGAAAGTCACATTTTTGATGATAATAATTATGATGTAAAGACTCTGAAAGAAAGTTCATATTCATTACTAGCACTTTGAATAAAGTCCTTATAATTGATTAAAATACACCTGAATTACTATCATCTGTTTTTCTTCAGACTGAGATTATAGTTCACCGTCTGATCTGACGGTTCAGATGTTCTGAAAGAAAAAAAGAAAGTAAATCACATTTCTAATTGTTCAGATCCAATGTGCACTACACACCGAAAATGTAGCTGTCACATACAAAAGTGTGAGCGCACATATGTACTCGGGTGTTTAATGGTATCATGTGTGCGTATGAGTGTGCGAGTGCGTTTGCTTGTACAAGCGTGTGTTTATCTTTTTTTTTATTGAATAGCTAACCCCTTGCCCATCACTGTGAATCTAATGTTATCCTTCCATCTTTGTGAATACTCCACACACTCATCCAATAAAATGAACACATGTAAAAAGAAGAAACAGTGATACAGATAACAATAAAATATTCCAGTAGAGGAGCACAACTCAAGACTGTGTTGTTTCTTTATTGCTTCGTTTGCAACACGTGAATTTGAATGGTTCTATTTATTTATTATATACATGTGTATTTAATTTGGATTGAAAATAGATCAATCATTTTCATTTACATAAACTAGATTTGTTCATATTTAATAAATACWGAATCAATCCTTCATATATAACTGGATTTATATATATATATATATATATATATATATATATATATATATATATATAGTATTTTTTTGAATACTAAAGCAATACTTCATATATACCTGGGGTTATATTTCGGGTATATATGGAGTATTTATATATACTTGGAGTTATATTTTATGTAAATATATTTGTTCATATTTAATCAGTAGTTCATATATACCTGAAGTTATATTTCAGGTATTTATGAGGTATTGTTAATATTTAATCAGTTCTTCATATACTGTATACCAAAGTTAATTTTCAGGAAGGGTTTTTTAATATTTTATGAATACTTTATTTATACCTAAGGTTATATATCAGGTACATGTAAAGTATTGGTTCATATTTAAGCAATACTTCATACACACCTGAAGTTAAAGTTGTATTTCAGGTATATATAAAGTATTTGTTAATATTTCATCAATACATCTATACCTTAGGTTATATTTCAGGTATTTAACAGACATTCCTATAGATTCTTTCACATAACATACAGAGAAATCAGTGAAAGATGTCACACATAACACACATTATAACACACACACACACACACACACACTATGAATCGACGTGCAGCAGGCCGTCGGATTCAACAAAGACGTCGCCATAAATTGGTCTGAAATGAACACAGAAGCACAGAGAGCACACAGAGTGCATGGAGAGTGTCTCACTTATGAAAAACTATATGCAGGCGTTCAGCACTGTGTGTGTGTGTGTGTGTGTGTGTGTGTGTGTGTGTGTGTGTGTGTGTGTGTTTGTGCGTGTGTGTGTGTGTGTGTATATTGGTGGTTCGCCTGTGCGTGTATCTCCATGAATTTGCGAGCGTGTGCGTGTGTGTTGTCTGAAGCAGCCCCAGGGAGGGGCTCTGACATTGAAGACGGGTTAAATCCTGTTTTACATTCAAGTGGCAGGCCCTAGTTCATTAGAGTGAGGATCATTCCTCCTCAAGACCAAAGGAAGCGCATACTAAACAAGAGCAGTTGTTGGGGAGAAAATGCCATTGTACGTGCAAAAGCGTATGCACTGTATGAGCGTGTGCGCTGATGTGATGTGAACTGAGCCGCAAAACCACCTCTGGTTTCTTCCCTGTGTCCTCGTGCTGTCTGCACATAGCAAAAGAAAAGCTGCTGCTTGTACAGTTGAAATGATTTTTGCACTGCTTGTGTCAGTGTGTCTGTGTGTGTGTGTGTGTCTGTTCCCACAACTCATAGCAGCTCTCCTGACTGTCTTCTACTCAGCCTGTCAGTGACTCACCCATACGCCCTCTCTGTCACTGACTTTGATGGCTTATCTTACCCCCTGAATTGGAGTCGCGCTCCCGGGGGAAATACCTCAGCACATGTAAATGCATTTGAAAGAGTAAAAATACGGTTCGGAATAAAAGAGTGAGGGATGGAGGCAGACGGCCTCCATGCACCTGGCATGGAGCTCACTACAAACTCAACAACTCACCAGCCCTCCTCTCACTATCTCCACTAGTTTCCTCTTTGTCTTTGTTTCCCAACAATCTCCTCTCGCTGCTCTCAGCCAGGAGAAGGCCAGTCCACACTTTAAATGCAGATGCTCTGATCCGTACACATGGCATTTAACACCTGAGAGCAGATGAGCCAAATAAGCAGAGGTTACAGCTCCTACTTTCAGGGCCGGGAGTGTGGATGCGAGGCTGAGGTTTTGGGAGATGTATGAGGCTGCAGCCCTGGACTTGGAGCTGTGTCTGGTGTTGTGATTTCAGCAGCCGCTCTGCTCGGGGTCTGGGGTAGATGGTGTTTGTCAGTGAGGGTGCGTCTCCTGCCTCTGGGCGCCCTGCCCTTTAGACGCGCCAGGCCTCAGGAGCCTCCTGCATGCCAAACAGACCTGTGCAGTCAAATGCAGCCACGGAGGAGGGAAGGGGAGTGGGTGGGTGGAGAGGAGAACGTGAGGAGGAGTCCAGAAAGAAAGGATGCGAGGGCAGAAAAGGGTAGAGGAGGATCTGAGGGGGGGAGAGGGAGCCCACGGAGGGAGGAGGAGGGGTACTGGTCACACTGCAGCAGCCGTCCAGACACACCCTGCATGTGAAACACAACTGCACCGAGACGCCCCGGGAATCAGGGAAAGGAGAGGTAGGGAGGAGGAGGAGGAGAGGGCGAAGGAGAGAGGAAGAGAGGGTGACTCTAAGGTGAGTCTCAACAGCAACACGGTGTGTCGATGGCTGGGAGATATCACAGACCTTCGCCCTAACCCAGTCAGCGATAGTTATCACAGACAGAGCCCCCCCACCATCCTCCACACACACACACACACACACACACACACACACACAACAACCACATGCTGTTCGGCTCAGTTCATATATTCATACATGCTCACAGATAAGCAGCTCATTATAAAAATTATGCATGTGCAGCGTGTGTGTGGACAGTTTGTTCGTCTTTTGACTCGTGCTACAGCGAAGACTAACCACCGACTCTGACAGCACTGCTACATCATGTTGGGCCTTGTTTGCATAAAATATGAAAATAGAGAACTTCTTACGAGGTGTCGGGGTACAGGTAGAGGTCTTTGCTTGTTCTGATAATTTGCTGAAGCTGAACATTCTTTGATTCCCTTACATTCTATGAAAAGAGTCTCAGTGTGAATCTCCTGTGTCTCCACCGCGGCCCCCGAGACAGAGGTCATGTCCTCTGTCGGGTTTCTAGGAATTTATCAGTTTCATCAAGCTTGAGGCCGTCAACTTAAAATATAAATGTAATGTGTGTTTAGTAGGTTAATGCAGACTCAATATGTACTAGACCTGAAGAGAAAGAGGAGATTCACAATGTACATTTTTTAAATGGCAACAGTAAATCCTTGGGAAATATATGTTTTATGAAAATATTTGTTGTGGCTCAGTGTTGTTGGTGGGACAATGGCCAGATTTACTATCTGGGGGCCACAACTGACCAGCAGCCGCCTGCTGGTAATCCAGTTTTAGGTGGGATTTGACTAATCATCTCAGCTTGGGGTCTCAATTTACTGAAATGAAAAAATGACCTCCTAAAGGTGTTGTGTAATTCAGGTTAACTGTGTTTAAATACCTCAAGATGGTTTTGTGTGTTGGTTTGCAGGATTACACAAAAAACTACTGAACACATTTCTACAAAACTTGAGATAGGATGAGCTATGGGCCAAGAAAGAACACATACAACTTTGGAATAGATCTGGATAAAATTGAGACAGATCTATGAATGTGTGATATGTGGTGCACTTTGATTGAATTTAAAGGGACTGTTTACCCTATGTGTGCTCCTTAGTGTCATTCTTAACTATCAGATTTATCTTTTCTTATGTTTAAAAAACCCCACAAATACACACTGAAGTCTCTTATCTGTATCAGCACAGATTTAATCTGGCTTTATTACAGTATATACAATAGCGTGCACTGAAAGTGGTGCACATACACAAAATGTAACAATAGCAAACCCCATTTCCAAACAAAAACTAATATTATCAACTTATCAATACCTTCAACTGTGCTTTAAATGATTAAAAAAGCCATTACAGCGATCACCAGATGATGTGATATTCAATCCAAAGGGTAAAATGGTTTATGGTTTTTACATTTAGGTACTGAACATGTAAAGTAACAATACCGAACAAAATATATAACCACAGACAAAGATGCATAAAAAAAAACCCTGATAGTTTAAAGTTACTGTAATGATAATCAAAAACCGACAAAAGTGCTATTGTCCTTACAAATCAAAATAAAAAAATACTTAAAACTCAAGCCCTCATTGATTTATAACAGAAAAAAAGACCTAGAATATGTTATTTCTTTTGTAGCACCCACACAGCTTTTCAATCCAGCGTATTTTATTTCAAGACTTTAATGCAAACTGCAGGTAGTCAGTCACAGAACAGACAGACAGAATCTGAGCAACAGTTGTCTGAGAAATGAAATGTAGCATAAAGCACCCTGAAAAGTAAACTTGGACAAATACAATGTTCGCAGTGAGTCTCTGCAACATGCCTGTCAATGTGAAGATGTCAAATATTGGGAAAGAAAAAACATTTTCAGACAGATTGATAATGTAAGTGAAGCAGCTTTGAATATGTGCAATAATAAGAAATTATTATTTTTATTGTTAACTACCGAGTTGTGAGTCCGAGTTGGTCGAATTATCAGCAATTTTCTCTGATCAGTTTCAGAAAGGATCCTGAAGTAGTGATCAATAATCAATATAATAAGGGACAGTAGGTTTGTACAGCATCTATAAACACACACACACACACACACACACACACACACACACACAC